AAAACTCTAAATACTGCATCTTACCATCATATTTGAAAAAATAATTCATATTGGCTTTCTGTGCTATGAAGTGAAAGACTGGAAGAACTGTAATAAGAAGCTACTCATGGATGTCACAGGACTTTCTTTTTCAGACTATTTTGGTGTAAGGTACTTAATGACCTGGAAAAAAAAGTAGATTAAATCTGAGCACAATTATACATATTTTGGAGGAGTATTCAGGTGGCCTCAAGTAATGAAGGGCAATTATGGCTGACTGGTCATAGAAAACTCAAGTCAACTGCATTACAGAGAGAGCAGCAAACTGCCACAGGGAGGGGCAGCCCTGACAAAACTGACTACAAGACGTAGGTCTCAACTAGATAGAAAAAGTGAAACAAAGTGAAGAAGAGCTACTCCGTAGGTAACTAACACCCAAATTCAGCCAGAAGCTCAATTTATGTAACATGCCATAGAACTATATCAAGAAAGATCAAGAGAATTTCCACTGTCCTTAACCCATCTAGGGACAGAGAATTTGCCTTATAAAGTTCCCTTTTTCTTCTAGTGGATACCACACGTGGTCAAAACCTCAGGCATCCTGCCTGGGAAGGGTTCTCCCAGTTCCAAGAGTGGCAATCCAGTCAATCCTGTGAGTGATCAAAGCAGATAAACCTCAGACCTGTAAAACACACAAATGCCTTTAAAAGGAGCAGCAGACTCATGCCAGTAGCTGTGGCCAAACTAATGTGCCTCAGAAACCATCAAGAAAAGGAAGAAGTTAATTCTGGTCCTACTAAAGAGCAACTCCCCACTTCCTCACCGCTCAGAAAAAGCAATCAAATTAAGACATGCGCAGAGCATTTTAAATTATAAGCAAAAAATTATGTGACAGTTGGACAGCCTCACATGGCATGTGTTTGTATTATAGTTACCACATAAGAGCTACAATTTGCATTTTGAATATAATTTAGAAGACTTAGTTTGCACCCCTTTTCTTTATTAGTATTCTAAGTGGATGCAAAGAAAATACAATTGATGATTACATGAATTCAATCTAAAAGGAAAACAGAACTCCAATTAGACTGGTAGCAAATAAAAGAGAAACTGGTATGTTCCCATAACTGAATATTATACTGAGCTGTTCATTAACTCCACTACTACTTCTCAGCGTAAAATGGTGATTAAGTATTGCAGTTTTAAAGAACTGCAATAAATATAAGTTCATTCACTAAATATATTTAAATGGCATTTATGGAAAAGAAAATGAGCTTTCATTGAATGATTTTAATGAATTTAACCTAAAGAGATGAGACTAATGCTGGCTGACAAGATTTTTGAGGGTGAAGAAGAGGCGAAGGAGAGGTGATGCTATGTCAAAAAAAATTGTATCAGTTTGTGTTAATCGATGCAGTCTTGTAAAATTATTTTAACATGAACTATTTCCATCAGTGGCCAGTACACTCTGTGAGACACTCTGGGCTGGAATTTCTTAGCCATGAGTTCTGAGTTTCGGATCAGACCAGAACACACAGGGGCAAGACTACTCTAAGTTTGGAAACATTCATGCAAGAAAAAAGTGGAGTATCAAAGCCAGTCCTTAACAGAATTAGAAAGGCTGAATCAATTGAAATTCTAAAACATAGCAACAGTTAAAGCTAAGAGGAGAACGAGGATTTCACCTTTTTAGTACTGCCTCTCTGTGTTTATTCTCCCCTTCCTCCTTTAAATTAAAAAATATGAAAAATTAATTAAAAGGCACTTTAATCATTCTACATGTCTGCAAAGCCTGAGGCATTGCCTTAAATGCCACAAGAAATGCAAAGCCAAACAGAGAGTTTAAATATGAAACTTGGGAGCAAATCTACACTTATTAAATCCAGGCCAGTCATGGTGATGGGGATCTCAGCAGCAGTCACAAGCTGCCCTTAGGGTTCAGAGAGCTACAACTCCTGGGATACTTGCTCTAAAAGGCAGTGCAAAGGCATCAGGGCAGGGTGCCAACATTGCCAACTCCACACTTTTTAAGCTGTGCCACCTATGGCAAGGAGGATCTCTGCCAGAGTGCCAAGCTGCCGTTGGAGTCAGGGCTGAGCTAGGGTTAGGGGTACAGCTAGGGTTAGGGTTGAGTGAATGAAAGAGCCTACAGCTCCAGGAACACTGGGGCTGGAACAGGCATGTCAAGGCCATTCTGGCAGGGCCACAACATTACTGCTCCTACGTCCTTCAAATCTGGACCACCCATGGCCTATGGGCTCATCAGCCCCAGTGACAAGATGCCATTTGGCTTCCAGTTAGGCTGGAGATGGCAAGAGAGTCTAGAGCTTCCGGCACACTGTGGCTGGAATACACATGCCAAAAGGATCATGGCAAGGCCACAACTTCTTTCACATTACAGGCATGCACGGGGAAGGGAACCTTAGCCACAGCACCAAGCTTGGTCAAAGCCTAGTGAGAAAATCCATGTAATTGTGAAATGAAGTGAACCCAATGAAATGGAATGGAAGGGAAAGGAAGTGCATTGAATTGCACCAAATATTTTCATTGGTTCCACTTAATTTTAGAATTTCTTGGTTTTTCAAATTTCATTTAATGTCTTTATGTTTCATTTCCTGTCTTTCCAGTTCTAGTAATTTCTTGATTTCGCAAGTTATATGAAAAAGAAAGTATTTACACAGAAACCCCCAACAATAAACTACACTGAATGGCTCTCTCTGCCATTTTTTCCCTGTTTGAAGGAACCCCTTCTCCCTTGAAGAGAGTGCCTTTCCTCTGCCTGAAGCAGGGAGGTGGTATCAAATAACATCCAGCTCATAGCCATGTTGTCTCCTAGCTATTGCAAAAGTTAGCTCTGTCCTGACATGAGCCAGGACAATTTATATGTTAGAAAGCAAAAAAAAAGTATTTTGCATTGTATCATTATCTCTTAAGTTATTTTCCTTAATGACCAAAGCACAGCTCAAGGTATGATAACGAAAATATTTTTTAATGACTGCAACCAGTGACACTGAAAGCTGCCTTTCACTATCATGGGTCCAGCCCCTTCCTGCTGTGATCTGTGCTATTCAAATTCCTGCAGTCAGCATATGCTATCACACCACACTCTCACATAAACCAACACACTAACCACAGTACCACCTAAAACCAGGAAGTAACCCTTTCAGTTACAGTTTCCCATATTTCTGCTCTTCTTGGAGATGGGATACAAGGGATGAACAGCTCTCCTGCTAAGCAGTTCATAGAACCATGGAATGGTTTGAGTTGGAAGGGACTTTAAAGATTATTTAGCTCCAACTCCCCTGCCAAGGGCAGGGATGCCACCCAATGGATCAGGCTGCTCAGGGACTCATCCAATCTGGCCTTGAGCAGTTCCAGGGATGGGGCATTCACGGCTTCTCTGGACCAGTGCATCACTGCCCTCACAATAAAGAATGTCTCCTATCTAAATCTATCTACTTTCCGTTTAAACAGGTGTATGTTTGTACTTCCCTTTACTCTAAATTACTCTAAATGCCCCCTGGAAGTCTCTGACAGCAGAAGTGGATTTTGCTGAAAATAAACAACTTCCTTTGCATGGTGGAAGATGACACAGCCAGTGGAAATCAGGAAAATCTAAAAATTCTTTGCATTTAAAGCCAGTGATTTACAAAACCTGCAACTTGACTTAATTATAAGGTCAATGGGGAAGAGTTGCCCTCAGCACAGTGAACACAGAAAAGGGACTCAACCCCAGTTTGAATCTGTCAAGTGTTGCTGAAGAAAGGCAGAAGGAAAGAAGTGGCAAGTATCAAGTCACTTGCAGGCTAGCTGCCAAAGAGACATCACTTCTTCTGCCAGCAACATGACTGGCAGTAAATAATCATGGAGCCAGTCTGAAAGTGCAGTAGGAAAGTGAGGAGACTGTCACATTTCACTGTCCAGCATGGCTGCAGCAAGCCCAAGGCTTGCTGCTTGGCAAGTGAAACACTGCAATTAATTACTGACATTACAGGGAAAGGCTGAGAGAGCCTGAACATCAGTTTTCTTCCCATTTCATTTGTCAGGAATACAAAAATCTGACTTAATTGCTGGAACATGAGCGTGGAGAAGATAAAACTAATAGCCATGGTATAGGGTGTGTCCAACCTCTTGGCCAGAACCACCAGTGAAGAAAATGCACAGGAGAGTGCTGTTCTGGTCAGAAGGTAACTAGGCAAACACATCAAATTCCGTCCAATGCAACCCACAGGAGAAATCCTATACTGCAGAATGAAGAAAGTTCATACTCCAATGCCAAAGGAACTGGGACAGCAGAACTTGTCCAGCATTTATTTGTACTGGCTTTTATATGCCCAATGTTGTTTTGAAAAGCTGGCAGATGAAGGCCACTTTCTACCCATTTTAAGTGTTGAAACATGTCTCAGAGGACTTAGTGCATGGGCAGAGAAAAAAACACTACTACTTTTAATCTGACTTAATTCAGTAGAGAAGGATTTGCCTGGAAAGAAGTTTGACTCCCTAAACCTTTTAGGACTGGTGGAGATGACATACTGCAGTGCAACTTCCCCATCCCTGTGTGGAAGTGATTATCTTCCACACAGACAAACTGAGTGTTGAAGACAAAAAAGTTCAGATTTTGGTGGAACTTAGATCTAAAATGAAACATGTATCATTCTTTTAAACATTCTTCTCACAGGTTGGTAGGCTGAACACTGAAGTTCATGGGTGTGACAAATATGTGTGGAAAATTCAAATTTAAGTCCTCATGTGGAAAATAATCAGTAGAGCTGCACAGATTAATTTTACAAACATGCACCTAGAAAAATTAGAAAATACTACTCGCAGCCTGTTTTTAAAAGTAGTATGGGATCACAAACCCATCACTCAAGAGGCCAGGACTAGCTGATGGCTTGCAATTAATTTTATAATTTAAGAAAGAATTCAACCTCAGCATATCTTTTGGTAAAGTAATCATCTATCACAGAATATATTCTGTGATGGACAGGACCCACAAGGATCTTCAAGTCCAACTCTTAAGTGCATGGTCCATACGGGGATTGAACCCAAACCTTGGCATTATTAGCACTGGGCTCTAACCAACTGAGCTAATCTCAGGATCAATCAAAGACTCTTCACTGAAGAGACAGAAGTGAATTTTTTAAAAGCTATTTCTTATGGTCTCATTTTTTCTTGTTTTAAGAAGAAAAAATGTCACCAGGTTTATAAAAATTACCATTTACTTATTTTGAAACCAGAGACTTCAGGAACATCACAAAGAAAATTTCTAGTCCAATAAAATGCAAGAGCATGGAACATCTTCCCAGCATTACAGCACATTGTTTTCATCACTCTCTTGAATCTCCAGCTTCTCCCTCAATCTTCCAGAGAAACCCCTGGTGGTACCTGGACAAGACCTCTTCAGCACCCATACAAAAATTTACAGACCAGAATGCCAAGGTAGTTGTAATTTAACTTGCACCATGCACACTATTCCCAGCTGAGGCAAACCAGTGTAGTTCAGCTAATCTTTCTAACACTCTACAGCAGCAGAGTCTTTATTGCATCCATCTCAGCCAAGGTTATCACTTCACAGCCTCACTAATGGGCCTTGCTGATCTCAGTCATATCCTGCTCTATTTGGACAACAGTGAAGTAAATCTCCAGCAGGGCAGGCTCTCCTTTCACACAAGCCACTGGAGTTTATGGAACAGCAGAACACACCCGTGGGCTGCACAGGGAAACCCTTTTCCCACGCTGAGACCAGCAGTAGTGTTGCAAAGAGCTGCTCCATCATGGGAGGTAAGAGGCAGGCAGCGACTCCCAGGCTCACATTCACAGAGTGCTCTGAATAAAACCAACGAGGCTCTGTGGGAATCAGAGCTGCAGTCAATCTACATGCAAGAGAACAGGATTACAAACACACCTCTTTTGCTGCCTCAGCATCGAGCCTGATCAGGAGATAAATGCACTTGCTGAATAGTGTAACCATTGTTGCTATAGTGCAAAAAAAACCCTGTGAAGCAGGACTGATGAGAGAAAAAAATTAATACTTTGATTGTGAAAACCATTGAGTGTAAATATCTGCTTCTTGTTCCTTGACCAAGGAACATTTTTGCCTTTGTCCATTGTGATGCCCCAGCCTTATGGGGAATGAGCATCCAAGACTCCTAGATGCCCGTGCTTGAAAAGAATGAGTGAAGTCAGAGGCTCTGCAAAAACTCAAAAGTTTTATTAGTAAATTACACACTCGGCATGGAAATTGGTATGTTAGTGTCCCTGACCTACTATATAAGCATATGGCAGTGGGTTTTGGATAAAGGGGTAAGATAAGCAAGAGAGAGGAAAGAAAGGAGGAGAGGAGGAGGAGAGAGAACCAGTCTTGTTTTCAGTATCAGTCCAGCTGATGGGATGTCCAGGGTCCTGGGGATGCTGCCTGGGTTTGGTGGGGGTACCTTTTTATAGATAGATTTCCCCGCTCTGATGATAGATTTCTCACTTTCTTTGCAAATTACTTATTATGCATAGCCCTTTCCTCTGGAAATGAACCGAAGGATTTCAGGGTTCTTTGGTGATCTTCATCCCTCCCTATAGTCCATGCCCACTTCTCATTCCTGCACTTGCACTGTATTGTGTTGTGCTTATCTTCAGGAACTAGGACAAGGATTTTATCTTGGAAAGTGCTGCACTACCTCTGCATGACCCCCTTCTCCAGCCACATTTTGTTCTCTCCCACAGCAGGTTATTACTAACAATCCTTGCTTGGCTCCACAGCCATCAGCTATTGCTGTTTGAGACATACACATTAGTCCCGTATCTTCTGGGATTCTACATCTCTTGATATTTTTATGGACATATTTCAGAGATCATAGCCTTGATAAACTGAAGGGAATAATTCAAATGCTCTCTAGTGCTAGGTGAAGGGATACTTTGGTTTTACAAGCTTCACAAAGTCAGCACCTTCAGCTGGCATTTTCTACACAATCCAGATTTATGAACAACTCATGATCTGGCAAAGACATGAGGATTAAAAAATTATATAAACAGTTTTTCTGAATAGGCAGCTTTCTCAGCTTCAAGTCAAAGATGTTACAGAGTAAGAGGATTTAAGAGGACATTCAGTGTATATGATACCAGAAATATGCTATGTGTTAACACTATGTAGCTACAAAGTGCTATAGTAAGTAACAAAAAAGGGCATTAGTGTAATAATGCAAAATGGATAGTGCAGCCTGTATATCCCTCCCTGCTTACTACCCATAGTTTCAGTACCAAACTGCCATTTATCAGCCCACTTTTTGTTTTCCATTTAGCACAACATCACTAGAAGAAGCAGAGACACTGGAAAGAGTTTGGTGATGGCAAAACCAGGGTGGTTGATGTAACACAGAAGATCTGAACAACCTAAATATGTTTGTACATTGACAGGAGCAACCTTCAGTTCAGAATTACCTCTCCTTTATGGCTGAGTTGACACAGCCATAAAGGCTGTGGGCTGAGGGAGAGAGAACACAAAACACTGCATTTAGCAGATGCTAGACGTGCCATGAACTATCATAGGCAACAGGACACTCCAAAGAACACTGAATCCACCAGAAAAAAAGCCAAAAACATCCAATTATTTCAATAGCAAAGAGCAAAGAAGTGATTTGTCACTTTTTTATTTACTTGCTGAGATCCAAAAGTACTTCTATGCATTGAAATTGTTGATAGAAATACATGCACATTTATAACATGCATTTTTCACAGAGTATTGTGAATAGCACAACTCGTGACTGCCATTCTGCAGTGCGCTGTGTTCGATGGCTGTGGTTTATTCACAGACAGGAGCTGTGCCTGGCTGAAGGCTGCTTGTTTACCAACTTCCTCCATTGCAGTGGAGCTTTTCCTAAACTGTGCTGAGATTTTCCTCTGATGTATGCAGATAGGAATATGCTGGTATAACCCCTTGCTTATATATGTGCTGCACCTTGCTATTAATCTCATAGACAAGACAGTTACCTTGGCAGGAACTAATTTTATTTAAAGTACCACAGGAAAGTAAAACTAGAGTTTCTCTGCAGGAATCTAGTTTACATGAGCATCAAAAGACAGCAGCTGTTACCTTTGCAGAGCTAGAGTTTGATGAAAGGCCACAAGCCAGACTCCTCACATCAGTATCTGCCAAACATAGCAGGAAGTCATTGTACCTTTTGCAGCTGACACTTCATGCTGAGAAATAAAAATGGAATGTCATCTTGTCCCCTTGTCTGTCGAGACACATCAGCATGTAAATCTCTTACAGGTGCTTCCCCAAGACAGGAAAATTTAGCAGAACCACACAGGACTTTGGGCATGGTCATTCTGACAAGGCAAACAAAAACCTTAGTAATCATGGCGGAAAAGCTATGCAGCAAAATTCTCTTATGGACATTAGCTCTTATTTGAATATTTGTCTTACGCAAATAAACCTTATACAGCCTCAGATTTTTTTAATGCTCTTCAGGATTATTTCTCCTGTGCTCTAAATTTTCTCCTGGGAAAGTTTTGTGTTGTAGTTCATTGAAAGAAGATCTTTCCACAATGTCCACCCACGGAGGTAATTTTGCATTTTGTGTTTCATGTGAGCAATAAGGCTTTATGTACAGGTATGAGAAACAAAACAAACCAAAATATCCAACAAAAACAACAAAAAAAGACGTATGTACAATCTAAGAAAGAAAAAAGAGATTTATTTAGCTCTAGAAGTCTAAATCAACTAAAACGAACAAAAATACAATCATAAGCTAGAAAGCTCATTAAAATAAATAAAAATAAAATTAGCATTTTTAAGAGCGCTAATTAACCACTGGAACAATTTAGGCTGACGTGTGGCAGATTTTTCATCATTTGCACACTTCAGATCTACATAGAGCTTCTTTCCAGTGAAGAACACCACTGTTCACACAGTTGTGTGTTCAATATTGTTGGATGAGAAATTCTGATCTTCATAGTGATACAGGCAGACGAAATATCACAGTAGCCTGGTCTGACCCTGAAATCTGTGAATTTCCAGCACAGAAAGGCAATATGGAATTGAAGTAGCAATAAATGACACATCTGATTGAGTGCCTGAGGACAAGAGCAAATTCCAGGTCAGGGAATCAGAAACACTTGCTCTGGCCCAGGTACTTGCAGAAGGCCATTTAGGAGGGCACACTGTGCCAAACACAGGCCTGCTCTCACAGGGTCGTGGTCATGAACTGCTCATTTGACAGCCTGAGCTTTTTCTTTCTTCTATTGCAAACAATAAAGACAAACCATAGGTACATACACCTTTGTATATTATTTTAAAAGTGTTTTGGTTCTTTATAAAATGTCAACTGTTAAGGAGAATCCAGTAATTCCCACTGCACAATGAGGCAGGTCTTTGGAGTATAGGTCTGCCTACAGCAGGTACTTAACTGGCAAGTTTGTTTCAAGTTGGTTGAACCAATCAAAAAAAATTTCCAGCTTTAATAAACTGATACCCTATTCCTCACCCTAGAACATCCCTTTTGAGAGGAAGCACTTTACATCATCCTCATATGTTGTTTTATGTTGGTGTCCCTAGCTACCAAGAAGCATGGAGCTAAAATGAAAATGCTAAAGTGCTTCCAGCATGAAGCTGCACTTTTATGTAATTATGCCTGCTGCTAATAAGCCTTCCATTACAGCCATGGCACAGGTTTTGCTAATCCATTAGAAACGATTGGTTGGAATTTAAAACACCGCTGCAAGCATACCACTTTTCACACTGAGCTCACATTGCCAGACTTCAAACACTTTCCCCCTCCATAAGTGACAAGGTTGGGCTATGCAACAACAGCTAGGGGAAGTGTTGAACTTATCTCTTGAACTCTCCCTTGGGATTCACCCGAAAAGTATTTTACTGAAAATAACGAGACTGGCTCTGACCATTTCTGCTGTCAGTGTGAACTCCAAACTCAGACATCAGCCTCTAAAAATGGGCTCTGCTGCATAAAACCTGCCACTAATCAGCACTGCCTGTGATGTGACAGCTTGCCTGAACAGGTGAACTCATACGTAATTCATCTTGAAATTTCTGACAAATCTCCTGTTACAAAAACTCTAGAAGAAACTCTCATAAAAACTAAGAACATA